AATATAATACTAATATTTCTAAAACTCCGTATAAAAAGCAAATTGATATATATAAGTATGGGACGGATAGAATAATATTTTAATTATAATATATAGTTAAAAATAATGTAAAGACAATTTTGTCCCTACTTTTTGTGTAAAAGTAATAGCATTATGGTAAAGTAGAGTATTTGTGAAAGAAAGTACGGTGTTTAATGAAATTGTTATATAGAAATATATATACTTTTTATTTTGGATTGTTCAGTTACAAAGTAACTATTTAAAAAATATTTTATTTTATTTTTAACAATAATCTCTACTTTACCATCACATAATTATATTTATATCTAAAAGAAATGACAAAATTATCTTTACACTACTTGTTATTATTTATGATAATTAAAATACTATTATTTTTTAAATATCGCGTCAAAAGTAAATATATATTTTAGTAATTGATGGAGTATAATTTATACATTAAACAAATGAAAAAAAAAATGTAAAAACAAAAAGACAACGTATCGTTAAGTCATAGTCTCTTCATTCAGTCATAGATGATCCATTTTTTTTTATTCGTCCCATAACTGATGACAAATTTATTTATTTTAAGCATATTTAATAAATCAACTATTATTTACAAAATACTATAGTACATGTAGTTAATATATTCAGTTAGTCAAACAAATTAATTAAAGTAATTAATAATTAATATCTAATAAAATCAGCTAACAATTAAAATAATAACATTGTCAAATACCCTCATAATATTTTAAATAAAAACTATAATTTTATATACTAATATACTTTCTTCGTGTCAACTAAAAGTATATTTTCTTTTGCTATTTATATCTATCTCATTAAAAAGTATATAGTATTTTTTATTATAATAATAATCAAACAATAATACAAAAATACTTTTAATTTTTACATAAATACAAATATATAATTACGCATATATATACATAAAATACAAATAATAAAAATTATTAAAAACACACTTTTACTAATTAATAAAATACTATTATTTTTTAATTTATTACAAATATTCAAATGTATACTTTCGTATGGGACGGAGAAAATATTAAATAAAATAAATAAATACTTTCTTCATCCAATTTTAATTGATACAATTTATATTTTTGCATGTCCTATAAAATAAATATTTTATCTATATTTAAATTTCACTCCTTTTATAAAATTATTCTATATTAATTATGAACAAATAAACATATTTTTTTATTTACTTGTATTATAAAAAATATTATTCTCTAACAAAATGATATTTATATTGCATATAATTTTTATAGTGATATTACTTTTAAATATTTAAATATATTTTATAATTTTTTAATAATATATAATATTTATTTTATTTTAAAATTATTAATATTATTAATTATATAAAAAATAATAAAATAATATCGCAATCTATTATTATTAACTAATTAAATATAATTATCTTAAATACTATATTATTAATGAAAAATATCAATGATATATAATTATTTTAAATACTACTCTTTCCGTCCCACATACCATGTCCACGTTGTCATTTCTCCATCCCACGTACCATGTCATTTTTTTTTTTTTGAAAATGATTACACACTTTAATCTCATTTTTAACTTTTTAATTTTATTTTTTTAATTTTAATTAAACTAATTAGTTATCTTAATCTTAATTTATAATTATTTATATTATAGGATAATTATTTTCACTAATACATTCTTAATTATCTACTAATTACATCCCTCCTAAAATACTGTGTCTACAGTGCAGCAGACACGGTACGTGGAACGAATGGAGTATATTATTAATGAAAAATATCAATTATATTGGAACAGAAAGAATATTTAGTATAAATCAGTGTCAACAATTATAAAATTAAGACATGAACTAATAATTATTGGCACTAGTAACATCCATGCCTAATTGACATTTTATATTCATAGATATATTTTGAACTTTATTAAATCAAGAAATGTCAACTCTAATAAAGTGTTGCATATATTACACTCCAAATATTAATACTTCATCCGTCTCTTAACAATTTATTTATTTTTTTATTTTGGTCCGTCTCATAACAAAGTATCAATTACTTTTTCAGTAATCGTACTATATACATAATATTACAAATACTCTTCCAATTTACAATATATTATACAAATATCATTACATTTATATCATACAATACTAATAGAGTTAATTTAGTCTTTTTATTTTTATTTTTATTTTTATTTTATCTCAATATAATATTAATATTTCTAAAACTCCGGGCAAACAACCAATGAATATATAGATACGAGACGAAATGAATATTAATATTAATATAGTGCATGAATACCTTTTCATGAGCTAAGGATATATTTTGGAAAAATATCATTGTAGACTTCACACTTTGAAAAATTTCAACGGGAATCTTGTTGAGACAATGACCCCCCTACCCCTACCCTACCCCACCCCACCCATGTTGGATTTATACCAGTTTAGTAGGCAAATGGATGATGCCCCATACCCATCTCAAATTTCCAATTGCTAATTTGTGTATATTTTTTAAAGTTTTGAGTTTTTTTTGTATTTTTCAAAACAAAATTTTTACTATTTATATACGGTTTTCAATAAAATATATTATGTTTATTCTATTTAATTTGTTCATTTTTTTATTTATTTATGTATGTTCTATATAAATTTTATTTTTTTAAAAAATATAATTATACACTATAATCATATTTTAAAATATATAATATACAATTTTTTTATTTTAATTAAATTATTTAGTCATTTTAATTTTAATATATAATTATTTTTACTAATATATTTCTTAATTACTTACTAATTATTCAATACCTAAAACTCTATGTATAACCTAGAGTGGACAATTTAAGTGGGACGGAAGAAGTATTACATTTGTCCTGCCAAAAAGTATATAGTATTTTTTTTGTGTTAATATTTAAATACTCCCTATGTCCCAATGCAAGATTGTCGCTTATTTTTTGCACGTAAATTTTTTAATATTAGTATTATAATGGGTTGTAGTGAAAAAGACAAAAATGCTCCTATTAGTATTGTGTAATATAAAAATAATGACATCTGTGTAATATAGTGTAAATTAGAAGGGTATTTATTATGTTAATTAGGTAGTACAATTACTAAGTTAGGAAATGATAACCTTTGGAACGAAAGGAAATGAAAAATGACAACCTTTCAATAGGACGGATGCAATATTAATTATTATATTGAAATATAGTACAAAGTAAAAAAATGACAAAATTACCTCTATTAGTTTATTATCATATAAATACAATGATACTTTTTAAGTAAATTATATAAATATAGGAATATTTTTAATATTGAGTATAATAATGAAAAACAACTGTATATTTTCTAGTTAAACGGAGGGAGTACTATTTTATTTTACAAAATATCAAATCAAAATATTACTTAAATGTAAATTCAAATCACCAACTCTATTTCAAATAAAAACCAAACAAACCCTTTTATTTGATTGCAATGTCAAATATAAATCAATATTATTCACTTCATACAATTTTTAATAAAAATATACGTTCGTCTCTAACTGTTACATTTATTTTTTGCATCATTGTATTTAACATTACAAATATCCTTATATTTGTATAATTTTTTTGTAAAAATATCCTTCTATTAGTATTATAAGACACTAATGAAAATAATTTTACAATTTTTTTTAATTTGTACTACGTTTTGATATAATAATTCATATTCAAATATCAACGTGAAAAAAAGTAAATGAGACCCTTAGAGTGAAACGAAGATAGTTTATGTTTTCTTATAAAACATTGTATCAAAATATTAAAAAAAAAAAACTCAAATTAAATATTTTATTTTAAATTAATATAAAACCACAACTAATACTACTTGATTTAAAAACATCAAATGATGTCAGCATTTATTTTTTTGCGTCGTAATGTATGAATATTAATTATTATATCAAAATATAGTATAAATTAACAAAAAATTGTAAAAATACTTTCATTAGTGTCTTATAATACACATTTGTACAAAAAATTATACAAATATACAAATATTTTTAATGTTAAACACAATTACACAAAAAATAAATGTGACCCAACGATTGACGGAGGGAGTATAATATTTTATAAAAAAGATAATTCATTTTCCATCATATCAATTTATTCTAAAATAGATGAATATAATTTTTTAAAATAAAAGTAAATAATAATTATTATTTTTTATTTTTTATAATATAAAATACAAAAAAAGAGTTATACATATTTTTTACAAAAAATATAAAAATATTTTTATAACAATAAAAAGTTATCATAAATATAAATGGCGAAAAAAATTATTTCCCACGTTTCAATTTAAAATACTATTTTTTACTATTTTCATCTGTCTCGTTAAAAGTATCTTTCTTTCTATTTTTAACAAAGTAAATATTCACTAATACCAAAATATACTTTTAACTTTTATTTAAATTACAAATATATTACTTCATAATTAAAGGACAAAAATATCAAATTTCTTACGCACTTTCACTTACTAATAAAATATTATTTTTTTAATCTGCATCAAAATATATTATTACACATAAAATTTCTTACATATTTTCGCGGAGTATATATTTATAAAAAATTATGATAAATTTAATAATTAAAAAATAAAAAAAGAAATTCAAATTCCAAAAGAGCCGTTTTCAAACAAACACTCAAATCTCATTCATAGGATCCCCACCTATACACACATGTTTCTTTCTTTCTTTATTCCAATGTAATAATCAATCTTACAAACAACCTCTAGTGGCCTCTTCTTTCTTGCCCACTTCTCTTCACAAAATCTTATCTTCTTTACCGTAATACTCCCGCCGCCGTGCAAATATGTGGTAAGTTGATCCAACACGAGTTTTAATAAAATAAGTAATAATTATTATTTTTTCTTTTTATAGTAAAAAAAATACAAAAAATTGTAATTTTTTATTTAAAAAAAACAATAATATTTTTCGATGATAACTCAAAAAGAAAAGTGAGTATAAATTTGAACAACAGACAGAATATAAATTTTAAACATTTTCTAATTTCAATCTCAAAACTACCCAACCAAAACAATCATCACTTTTTCACACACACACACAAACTAACTATAAAACACAGAGAATATCCAAACTTTTTGCACAAACTTTTTCTTTCATATGACAAACAACCATAAGAGATCATTTCTTCCTATGTTCTTCCTCTTACATCAATCTTTGTCTTAGAATCTTCAATGGCAATCATCTTCATCCATTCTTGCCATTTGATCATTCTTTTCATCTCAATTCTTCCATCCATGGCTGCCCCAGGCAGCCCCCCCGAGTCCCGCCTTCTTTCGACGGCGAAATCGGGACTCGTCGACCCGACCGGAGCCCTCGAAACATGGCGCCAAGAAGACACCATGTGTACATCTTGGTATGGAGTTTCTTGCACACTTGACAAGAATCATGTTTTAGGACTAAACTTGTCTGGATTAGGACTCTCCGGGAAGATCCCTCGAGAAATCTTCCGTTTGCCGTTTCTTGAAACGTTCGATTTGTCCTCCAACTCATTAACAGGCCCCGTCCCGCCGCAAATCGGCTGGCTCCGAAACCTTAAAGAATTGCTTCTTTTCTCGAACTCTTTATCCGGAACCATCCCCGATGAAATCGGGCTTCTGAAGAGTCTCCGAGTGCTCCGGATCGGCGATAATTTTCTCACGGGAAACATCCCTGCGAGCGTCGGGAACCTCGCCGAATTGACGGTGTTGGGACTCGGATATTGCGAACTCAACGGAAGCATACCGGAGGAAATCGGGAAGCTAAAGAAACTTGTGTTTTTAGACTTGCAAGAGAATAGCTTCTGCGGCGAGATCCCCGACGCGATCGGCGGCTGCGTCGAGCTTCAGAACGTTGCTGCGTCGAACAATAAGCTCGATGGGAACATTCCAGGCTCGATCGGAAATCTCGAATCGCTTCGGATTCTGAATTTAGCCAACAACACGCTTTCTGGACCGATCCCTGTCGAGACGACCCGATTGGCGAATCTTCAGTACCTTAACTTGCAAGGGAACCAGCTCGGTGGCGAAATCCCGACGCAGATTAACGACATGGTCGAGCTTCGGGTTCTCGACCTGTCGAGAAACAACTTTTCGGGGAAAATCGCGCTTCGCAATTTGAAGAACCTCGAATCATTGGACCTTTCGGATAATCGACTCACGGCGATTGTTCCCGGCAGCTTATGCGTCGAACACGCAACGTTAACGCAACTTTTCTTAGCTCGAAACGACATATCAGGCGACTTTCCGGTCGAGATATTGAACTGCACATCGCTGCAGCAGTTAGACCTGTCCGGAAATAACTTCGGCGGCACCCTGCCGAGGACCCTCGACCGGCTGACGAACCTCACCGATCTCCTGCTTAACAACAACAGCTTCATCGGGACGATCCCGCCGGAAATCGGGAACGTGACGAACCTTCGGAGCTTGTTCCTCTTCGATAACATGATTACGGGTTCGATCCCGCGCGAAATCGGGAAGCTCCGGAGCTTAGTTTATCTATACCTTTATGACAATCGGATGTCGGGAAGTATCCCGCGAGAGTTAACTAACTGCACGGCGCTGGAAGAGATCGATTTCTTCGGTAACCATTTCTCGGGATCGATTCCTCGATCCATCGGAAAGCTCTCGAACTTGAAGATCCTCCAGCTAAGGCAAAACGAGCTTTCGGGCGAAATTCCGTCGTCGTTAGGACAATGCCGGAGGCTCGAACGTCTCGTCTTAGCCGATAATGTCCTGTCCGGGTCACTGCCGCCGACGCTCGGTTTTCTTACCGAGCTTTTCCTCGTAACTCTTTACAACAACTCGCTTTCTGGCTCGCTCCCCGACTCGTTCTTCCACCTCAAAAACCTAAGCATTGTGAACTTCTCGCATAACCGGTTGCACGGTAGCGTCGCGCCGCTCACGGGATCGAAATCACTAACCATATTGGACTTGACGAACAATAGCTTCTCCGATGCCATCCCGTCACGGCTTTCTATGTCGGAAAACCTTAGACGCCTCCGCCTCGCGCATAATCGTATCTCCGGGAGCGTCCCGCCCGAGTTTAGCCAGATGAAGAACCTCGAATTCCTCGACTTGTCGTATAACGACATGACAGGGGAGCTCGTGAACGAAGAATTTTCGGGATTTACGAAGCTCGGACACCTTCTTTTAAGTAATAACCGACTCTCCGGCTCAATCCCCGCGTGGTTGGGAAGAATCAAAGAATTAGGCGAGCTCGACCTCTCGTCGAACAATTTCACCGGAAAAATCCCATCAGAACTCGGAAACTGCTCGAGATTACTCAAGCTTTCACTTCATAACAACCGCCTCTCGGGCTCGATCCCGTCGGAGATCGGCAATCTCGACATGCTAAACGTCTTGAACCTACAACGCAACGATCTCTCCGGCCACATCCCCGCCGCGATACAAAAATGCAAGAAGCTATACGATCTCCGTCTCTCCGAAAACAACCTAACCGGCGCAATCCCGACGGGAATCGGCGTAATGACTGAACTCCAAGTGATTCTCGACCTAAGCTTCAACGACCTCTCTGGCGAAATCCCAACGTCGATCGGAGAACTCGTGAAGCTCGAAAGACTCAACCTTTCGTTCAACGATTTGAGCGGGAAAATCCCGGGATCGATACAAAAGTTGTCAAGCCTCCATCGACTCAACCTATCGGGGAATCGTTTCGAGGGCGAAATCCCGTCGACATTGGCGAACTTTCCGCGGAATTCTTTCCTTAACAACGAGCTTTGCGGCGCGCCGCTCGTTTCTTGCTCGGGGTCGTTAGGACGTCCTGGGAAATGGATGTCGGAGTCGCAAGTGGCCGGGATCGTCGTGGCTATCGTATTCACATCGACTTTGCTATGCATGTTCATGATGTACGTGATGCTTAGGATGTGGTGGAATTGGCGAAACGTCGCGGTTTCTTGCGAGAATAAGATCGACAAAATTGTCGACGACGAGGAATGGGTTTGCGGAGACGAGGCGTTCAAGAGCAGCGATCATCGGTTCTGGAACGAGAACTCGACGGCGCTCGTGCCGTCCGAGACGAGACTCGTCGTCTCGGATTCGACGCGGATTTTTCATTACAAGTTCAAGTTGAGCTCGAGCAGAAGTAAGAACAACGATGTATAGTAGGATAGTTTGAGGATTTTTTGTTCGATTTTTTTGTGTCTTCCATTGATCGATGAACGTTTTGTGTTTTTTATGTATAGAACATTAGGATAAAGTAGAATGATTCAACATATTAGAAAAAATTCTCAAACTTATTGGTATTTGTATTTTTTTTATTTTTTATTATAAAAAATATATATTTGTCTATTTTAATTTATTTAAATACTAAGTATAAATATTTTAAAGAAACATAAATCCTATTAAATATTATAAATATTTTTAAATATGTATTTATGTACATTATATATATATATATTACTAAAAATTACTTACTTTTCATGAACTTTGTCAAAGATACATAAAAGATTAAAATGTCCTTAAAATTTTAAAAGGTAAGTCAGAATAATAATTAACGATAGTTTGAAAAAATATAAATAATTTTGTTATAAAGTGCAACTATTATAAAAAACAAAGACAATTCTTCTTTTGAGACGGATGGAGTATAATTTTTTATAATAAAAATATATTTGCTCTGTCATTTAAATTTATTTTTATTTATTTCAATTTAATTTTTTTTAAAAAAAGATTATTAATTTTTTTCTTTACTATTCAAAGGAAAAAATATTCTATTTTTATTTTTATTTTTTACTTTTTATTTTTTATTTTATTTTTTTAAAATTTGTGCTCAATGAGAACAAATTCGACAAGGAGTAATACTCACTTTCCATAAAATCGAAGTATGGTTTTTTTTTTTTTAATTTATTATGTTTATTTTGAATAAAAAATATTTCATAAATATTAATATAATATATATTTTATCTATATTAACAATTTTATATAAAATAAATATTTTTTTATATTAGTAATATAAGGGCACCTGCAACGGCGCATCTCCTCTGGAGGAGATCGGAGATCGGCCACATCATCATTTTTTTAAAAAAAAAAAAAATAGAATGGTGCTTCCCAGCATTTCCGCAGAGATGCTGGAAGATGTGATTCTATTGCCATGTGTCCATGACACTTATATATATATATGTATATATATAATATATATTATATATGTTTTGTATTTGTAATTTATATTAAATTTATTGTTATATTTAAATTTTGTAGTATTTTTATAATTTATATATTTTGTATTCTACAAAATGATACCAATATTGAATATATTTTATCAATTTGAAATTTAAAATATATAAATACAAATATTGTATAATTCTATTGAACAAATCAATATTAGTAAATTTAATTTAATTTATTAAATAAAATATAATTATAAATTTTAAAGCAATTAAATAAATAATTAATACTACAAATTAAAATTATAGTTAAAAAATAATATATATAATATGAAAATAAAAATTTATTAAAAAATTAGGATGAGTATCTTTGTTGTGAATATAAAATAGAAGAGAGTATCTCCGCTTGGCAGAGAAAATGTGACGTAGATAAGAAAAAGTAGTAGAGATACCCAAAAGCGAATATCTCCGTTGCGGATGGTCTAATTCTTCATGTCTAACTATATATTCAAAAACACAAAAAAAAAAAAAAAAAAAAAAAAAACAATAATATTTTTTTACAAATATATCAATTTTACTTAGATATTCAATTTATCAAAAAATTAAAATAAAATAAAATCACAGTTAATTAATTAATTTGTGTTCACGTTAATATAAATATGGGAGAGAGACTACACAGTCAAAGCCACATTTCTTTCCTTTTTTTTTTTATTTCCATCATTCTGAACCGCGAAAAAATCGGTTTGGTTTCGGTTTGATGACAGCCGGCTCGAACCGGATGGGTGGGTTCCAAACCGGACTTCAATCACCTGTGCAAATTCCAGTCGTCTTCAAGAATCGCATCATGGTAGCTGAAGATGTTCATTTGAAGGTGTATTTGAGTTAAGTGAAGGTTGTTGAATTAGGGCCGATCTTGGGAGTACGGATGGATCGGCGGCAGGTATTCTCGGTGGACCTGCTCGAGAGGTACGCTGCGAAGGGGCGTGGAGTGATTACATGTATGGCTGCTGGGAATGACGTCATTGTGCTGGGGACGAGCAAGGGCTGGGTGATTCGCCATGATTTTGGGGTTGGAGATTCCTTTGGTCTGTTTTCGATTAACTCTACTTCTTCTGCGTGTTGTTCATCTATCTAGATTTTTTGAAAAAGTCCTTTGATTCTCCTATTTCTTGAAAAAGATGAGTTGATCGTGATTTCATTGATTGAATGGAATAATTAACTTGAAACTAGTTTTGAAGCTTGATTACTTGATTGATTTCTTTCTACATTTTGTAATAGAATTGAAATTGCTTTTACTGTTTGCTGTGATTGAATTTCTTTGTCGTTTGTTTGCTGTAGTTGAATTCCTTTTTGTTTAACGTTTGAAGAGCTTTATGATTGTTTTCTTCAATTTTTGAATCTATTGATTAGATATTGATCTCTCTGCGGGTAGAACTGGAGAACAGTCAATCCATAGGGTTTTTGTTGATCCTGGAGGCAGCCATTGTATTGCCACGGTAGTTGGTGGGGGAACTTCGGATACTTTTTACACACATGCAAAGTGGGCTAAGCCTCGCATTTTGCCCAAATTGAAAGGTCTTGTTGTGAATGCTGTTGCATGGAATAGGCAGCATATTACAGAGGGTAAATAAGTGGTGCTCGTAGATCATTTTTACTTCTTTTTTATGTCAACATGGTTGGAGATATCTCTAAGATCTTGGGTATTTGGTGAATTCTACAGCTTCAACAAGGGAAATTATTCTTGGCACCGACAATGGCCAACTTTATGAAGTTGCTGTGGATGAAAAGGATAAGAGGGAAAAGTACATCAAATTTTTATTTGAACTCAGTGAACTTCCTGAGGCTTTCACAGGATTACAGGTTGGATGGAGTTCAGTTCTTGCATTTTTCTTTTGTCGTTTTTGTTAAATTATGTCCTATATGGAAGTTTGATAGGTGTTCTTAAGTGAAATATTAGTGTATCTGGATTCTGGAAACATTAAGTGCAAATCTATATTCCTTGTGAAATACTGAAGTTCTTTGAACCTTGTAAAGCCAGTTAGTTTATTAAAGTGGTGAAGTTTGCTGCCACCTATAAATTAATTCTTTTGAAAATGATGTCAAGAGTTTTAGGTGAATTTTTCAAGTTTGAATGTCTGGGTGGCAAGATTAAGGATAGATACGTGCTAGACAAGAATAGTAGGAAACAATGGGCGCAGTTTTGTTCTATTTTTTGGCATTAAAATTTAAAGGAACATAGTTCAATGTCTTCTTGATGTTTTCTCATTTCTTCTATTGGTACTTGGCTCTTCTTCATGTTCCAATGCAGATTGTAGGCCTTTTCCTGAAATTAAACAATAATGGTTTTATCTCACATTCAACTTCCATCTAGACAATCTCTTTGCTCTCTGTTTCTCCATAATCTATCGGCACACACCGAATACTTTGTTCTCATTATACATGTCATGTCCTTAGCATATTATACTATCCTTGTCTTGTAGATGGAAACAGCAAGCACAAACAATGGAACTAGATATTATGTCATGGCTGTTACTCCTACGCGACTTTATTCTTTTACAGGAGTAGGCTCTCTGGAGGTAAGTTGCAACTTACTTTATTAAAGTTTTAATCTTGTGGATATTCTTCTTTTGGAAGTGTACATCTTGTTGCTATCATGATGCTCCTATGTTATTTGGCCTTTCCATTCTACAACTAGAACTCTAAAAATTCTGCAGGCGAGATTTTTGGTAGAACATGACTTCCATAATGATGCAACATGCACTATCTCATTAGCTTGATCCTTGTCAAGATTAATAATGAATGATTGGATGTGATATCTTGCTTTTTATATACTGTGTTATCATCTCTGTGTGTCGGTGTTTTTTTTTTTCCCTGGGTGTGGTTCTTTTGATCCTTTTGATGTGATGTTTTGAATGTAGAATTAATTTTTAGTATAATATATAAAATAAAAAAAGAGGTATTTGATTTGATGTTTTTGGGGCGAAAAAAATTGATGAATGGTAAAATCTTGGTTAAAAACCCACAAAAGAACACACCACTAGTTTTGTCACGCAATTATTAATGGAGCCTCTGGTTCTTCTAGATGCCATTAAATTGCTGTCATTCTTTTGAAGCTTTTTTACATAAACCCCATCGATACATGATACATTATTGCCTCCTCTTGGAACTGTATGCATATTTTAATGTTTAGAAAAAGATAGTGGAGAACTTGGGACGTGATCTAGTAGCCAGAGTGCCATGATATAGAAATTCTTAGTTTTCTCAGTAATCTTCCTAAATTTACCACAGCATTTGTAAGCTGTCAAATATTAGCTGCTTTTTTAGTCCCTTGTCCCAAACCTGATTTGATCTCTTATCTTCTCTGAAGTTATGTGTTTATAAATGATTCCAAAAATTTTGAAGATCATCACTTTTGACATTTTGCTAAATTCCTTTCCGCAGACTGTTTTTGCTAGCTATGCAGAGCGCGCAGTTCACTTCATGGAACTTCCTGGGGATATCCCAAACAGGCAAGCTCATGTAATCACTTTGAAGTTTTATTAACATTCTGATTGAATAATTCATTTCATTATGTATGTGGAATTTGGTTGCCAAAATTTCTACATTAGTAAAAAGGTTTGGATATGATGTTTTGAATATAGAATAGGTATTGGATTTAATGTTTTGAATGAAAAATAAGTGTCGGGTGTGATGTATTTTAGGGGCACGTTACATTACTGTAGACCGCATAATGCAAAAACAAGATTGAACACAAATACAAATACAAGTTTCTCCAGATGTTCATTACCTTATTTGCCCCTAAACATTAATATTGTTTTCCATATGAAGTAGAACTATTCCTTGTATATCAGATTCAGATTAATATTTGCATCTGAAAAACCATCATTGCAGCCTGCTTCATTTCCAATGACATATTTAAATTAAGGTACGTGCTATATAGAGAAAGGATGATAAGCATGGAATTATAAGATATTAAGATTTTTGTGGGATTCTACGCTAGTTTTGAAGTGAAATCCTTTTGTGATTCTGTAGTGGTATTTTAACCTTAAGCTTTTTGTCATTATATAGTTTTTGCTGTCTTGGATTATTCATAGATGTTACTTAATTGGAATTTAGAATTGCTGAGGAAGCCTCCTCTCATGGGGCATTTGAAATATCTTCCTTTTGGTTGTTTTGCTTCCCTGAACAATAAATATCTTAGTACTTACTTTATGGAAAGACCTACAGAAGGTATAATTTTTACTGTGGTTAACTTCCATGAAGGCAGGAATAGATCTAATATGAGTGTTGTTACCAAATTATTCACATACTACTCAAATAGATAGATCAGAGTGGGGGACTCAGGGATTCAAAATTTTTTGTAAAATCAAAGTAACTCTGGCTAACTCAATGCTTATGTTATGAATTTGATATATTTAATATCAATTTCATCAATCCAATATGAGCATGTGCACTCTGGTATTAAATTGAATAAAAAAGTTTAAATTACTTTCTTGCAGTGAACTCCATTTTTTCATCAAACAAAGAAGAGCTATACATTTTGCATGGCTTTCTGGAGCAGGAATATATCATGGTGGCCTTATTTTCGGAGGACAGCGAAGGTAGAATATCCAATCCTTGATTTCTGTTTCTTTGAGGTGATTTACTTGCCAATCTTGTTATTCCTATGTGTTATAACAAACATTTTGGAACGCTGTTGTTAGTTCACCAAATGGGGATGAAAACTTTGTGGAAAACAAGGCTCTGTTGGATTACTCAAAACTCGGTGAAGGCGTGCTCATCAAACCTAGTTCCTTGGCCGTGTCTGAATTCCATTTTCTTCTACTGATTGGAAACAGAGTTAAGGTGTGTTCATTAAAAGTGATATTGCTATTAAGACTGTTACTTTCTATTCATTTGATGAGTTAAAAAGCAAAATATGTGTTGAAATTCTAGTGTCGTGTGCGACTAGGTTCTGTCCATGACAAACATTTGTGAAGTTTGCCAATCAGGATTTCGGGTGTTGGTCTAAGGAAAGTTAGTGTGGGATATTAAGCTCCATTAGAGCTCTTTGACTGGGAAATTGAATTGCGGAACGATTTGTTGAGCTCTTATCCTTATCCACCTTACACCATTCAAGCTTTGACAGGCTAATTCGGAAGCCCGTGATGAGTGGCTTATTTTGTTTCTGGGTTTTCCCTTGGTTTAGGGGTCCTGGGAATTCTCTCTGGTGCATTAGGACTGATTATCTAGGAGAAAAACTTCCCTCAGAAAGTCAAGGCCTGCATATGGAAATGGTCAGGCATAGGGGTAGGAAAAAAAAAATGAATAAATAAAAAAACGGACACCATTCCTGTCGTACTGTAAAGTATTTTTGGTATATAGTAGATTTTGGTAGAATATGATGCCCTACCGTAAATTTTCAGTATGATAACAGTATGAAATTTTACATACCGTGGTACACATTTACAGCTATACCACAATATCATTGTGTTCAACATTTAATATATATAGGTATCAGAATATATACCAACATACCTAATAAAATTTTCGGTTTGTTCACTCAATCAAAAATTTTTATGACACAATTCCCATTATATATACTATTTATATTTTATTCTCTAACAAAAGTCAACAATTTAAAACAAAATATTATCTTTAATACTCCCTCTGTCCGCCTCTAGGGGTCACATTTATCTTTTGCATACTTAACATTAAAGATATCATTATATTTGTATAATTTTTTGTACAAATGTTCTTCTATTAGTATTATAAGACACTAATTGAAGTATTTTTGTAATTTTTTCTTAATTTGTATTATATTTTGATATAATAATTAATATTCAAATATCACAAAAAGTAAATGAGATTTTTGGAGCCGGACGGAGGTAGTATTATAATACGATTCCAAAATATTTGAAACTAAAATACTAAAACAAACCAAATCAAAATTAAATAAAAAGTATTGATATTTTTATATTGTTATTTTTAACTATGATAATTTTCAATATTTTTAGTTATTTTTTGTTTTTGATATATCTGTAATTTAATGTTATATCGTTAATTTCGGCATGATATACAGTATATCAATAAACCAAAAACTTAATAAGATATGACAAAAAATGGGTATGGTATCGGTATAAAAAATTTTATATCGTAATTCTCAGTATATTGTAAGTTAGTATGGCGAATGGTTCGGTACAATATAAGTGTGACATTTTCCCATACCGGTATTTACAGTATGGTATACATTATGATGTAAAATTTTGGTATACTGAACTGTGCCACCCCTAGTCAGGTAAGATCTCCGTGCTATTGCTTCTTCGAGTCCTTCTTTACATATTGAGTTTGGAGTGGTAAAATTATTTAGTTGTTTTTTTTTCTTTTGGCTGTCCCCACAACATGTAGCGTTTATAATTGGAATTTTATAGTTTTGAATGTACATATTGTCATGCTTCTCTTCATTTTTCTGTCTATTGGATCAATAGTTCTGTTCTTTCTGAATTATTTTATAGGTTGTAAATAGAATCAGTGAACAGATTGTAGAGGAGCTGAGTTTTGATCAAGCTTATGACACAGTCTCAAGGGGTGTTCTAGGTCTATGCAGTGATGCATCTGCTGGACTTTTCTATGCATATGATCAGAACTCCATCTTTCAGGTGCAGTATTGGTGATGCTTTTTTTCACCTTGCTTTCAAGTAAAACATCAATTATAGCGTCATACAACATGCTTTTGGGTTTACTTTTACTTAGTAATTTCCTATCTGAATTCATCCGCAGATATCTGTGAATGATGAAGGTAGAGACATGTGGAAAGTGTATTTAGACTTGAAGGAATATACTGCCGCTTTGGCAAATTGTCGTGATGCTCTGCAAAGAGACCAAGTTTATGTGGTGCAGGTCTGATGGTTATTGCAAATATTTTGATATTTTGAATTTCATCTATCACTCCATTCTATAAATCATTGCAACTTTACATCTACTGTTTGCTAATATTTGTAGCTTTATGAATAATTATTGCAATTTAGGCTGAAGCTGCTTTTTCTTCCAAAGATTTTCTTAGAGCAGCCTCCTTTTATGCGAAGGTAATCTATTCATGACTTTGCTTTAAAGATGGGAACTATTGATTGTTTGTTTGTTGAAGCCTAAAATTTCAGAAGAACAATATACTGGAAACCTTTATTTAGATTAGACTGTATAATTTTATTATATGTAAACTAAACTTCTTCACATGCATATATGAGCATGCCTGTTTCTTTCCTTCTTTTTATTATTATTATTATTATTATTATTATGTGTGTGTGCATGCTCTTTAGATTTATATGATAATATGAAATGTGATCAGGATTAATATATTATGAATTTTGAAATATGCAATGGACTAGCCACCACCTTGGTATAAGTGGTCAACAGCCATACTTTCTAGAGAAAAATTCAAGAGTTTTTATATTCCATTAAAGAGTGGTTGTAATTATTTTTTCCTATTATCTACGAGTTATGAACTTTGTTTCTTGTTGGCCAATTGTTAATTTGATTCCTAATCTGCCCACTTGCACCAACATGTGTCACAAAAAACCTCCACCATTACAACGTCGTCATAACATGTCTTTAATAAAGTATCATCAGTTACATTGTGTTTTTGTATATCTATTTTTAGTAACTTGAACTCAACATCTTGTATCTAGCATAATCGTCTGCCGAATCTCCTTATGTGCTTAAAGTAGCCATGTAATCAAATCATCCTGCGATTTTTGGTTGGAAGTTAGTTGCTAGAACAAGTAATCTATGATAGTAAATGTGGTAACCTAGCTTGTAATACAATCCACATCGAAATCAATCCAAACAAGGTGTAGACAGAAGTTTATTTTAAATTATAATCATTGGCAAGTTAAATAAGATGGATGTTAATGGAAAACTTAATAATGATATGCTGTGGTTGTGGAATTATTTATTGATTATCTAAGCATTGTACATCCACTTATTTTAATGCTCAAATACCTTGTAAAAAAACTAAAGGGATGTAATAAGCTGACCTTTCTTCTGTGTACAGCTTGATAAAGAACTTATTTTTATATTTGTGCTTTCTGTTTAACATTCTCTTGGCATTTGTTACTCTGGGTCAATGGTACGATCTTCTGAAATAGTGAATGGGAATGTATCCATTGAAATTTATTTACTTAGCAAACCGCATATTGCTGCAGATCAACTTTGCATTGTCATTTGAAGAGATCACTTTGAAATTTATTAGCATAGGCGAGCAGGTATATTACAGTTTTCTTCACATTCTTACAGAATCTTATCAGATGCTTGCTTGTTGTTATAGTAATGTGTTCCATCATTAGCAGGATGCATTAAGAACATTTTTGTTGCGGAAGCTTGATAATATCACAAAGGATGACAAATGCCAAATAACCATGATTTCTACATGGGCAACTGAGTTGTATTTGGATAAGGTTTGTTGCAATTTCTTATTTTTTACTTTCAGGAAAAGTTTTGTGGTGGTTCTAAATTGCTGGCTAGTTGTCAGGATAGAGCTTTAGATGACTAATACAATTGACCACATATAATCTTGAACTGTTAGATATTTTCTCTATGCCTTTAATGATGTCTATGTCCATATGCTCCCATGTCCTAGTTCTTGAAAACCATAACATTTGGTATTCCCTGAGTAACCCTTTTACACTTCCTCAATTTGAATTGCAAAAGGCACCGCTAAGGTACTAAATACTATATTCTTCATGCTGACTGGTTGCACCTCTAATTGGGAAATTTTAAGTTGCTATTATGCTAAATTACTTCCATGCTTAGTGTAGTATAGAAATAAACTCCTAGGAATTAGGCTTGATATAGTTGTAAGTGGATTGCCACGGACTCATGATAATTGCGCAAGACACTATTCTTCTGCTGCATATTTATACTTTTTGGGTTAATTAGGATTATTTAGGTTTTATTCTGTCTTTAGCATGTTTTCATGTGTTTCTATCAGATTAACCGAATACTATTGGAAGATGATGCTATGTCAGAGAATGTTAGTTCAGAGTATCAATCAATAATTACAGAATTCCGTGCCTTTTTGAGTGATTGCAAGGATGTTTTGGATGAGGCTACCACAATGAAACTTCTTGAAAGGTGCTTTGCCATGTATTTAACATTTCTTTTCTTTTCTTTAGCTTGTTAAATGTTATCATACAATCTGCCAAGTAAAGAGATGTTTATATCCTTATTCTTTTACTTAATTCATTTTTAAGATATTCTAAATGTTTTGTTCAAATATTGTTCATCTTTACTAGAAGAGAACAGATATTTTATTAATCTTATAATTAAGTAGTACATAGAGAAAACCAAGCTAAGGTGGAATTCTGGGGGGTTTAGCCTAGATCTGCTCACAACCAAACTGAAAGATCAGCATTGTTTTGTTTGCACCTCCTTAGGTAGGAGATGTAGCTGTTTATGTTTAATATGCTCACTTCACATCACTGCTTGCTATTATGATCTTCCAGCTATGGTAGAGTTGATGAATTGGTGTTCTTTGCAAGTCTTAAAGAGAAACATGAGATTGTGATTCATCATTATATTCAGGTACCTTTTCTTTTGTTACACCATTTAAGGTAACTATGATTGTAGATTTAGGGCCATTACGATCTGTTAGTCCCTCAGAGTCTCAGATCTTGTTTCTCCACAATATGTGTTAAGTACAAGTAGAAGCAAGGTTGAGGGACTCCAATGTTGGCTAGCTCAAGTTCTTACTCTCTCATCATCCTTTACTTTCCTGTAGAATTAGAATTGAGTCTAAACTCATATCAACACTGAGAACTCCTTTTTGTTGAATATATTTATTTACAGTTATGTTCTATGTAAATTCTTTTACAATTATTGCCAATGTTGATAATATCAATCTCTTTGATCATTGAGGTGATTCTTGAGACCTTCTAATCAATACTCGTCTCTTTTGGATTTTAATGAGATGGTGGAATTCAAGAACTTTCCTTCTTTTATTTGTCTAGTTTTTCTCTTGTGTCAATATCATCCCCTTGATTCACTTTTTTCCTACAAAGATGCCTTACTGTTGTGGTGCATTTATATTTATTTATTTATTGTTTTTGGAAAATGAGCAATGTGTAACTAGTAAGGAAATCATCCCAAATAGTCTACTACAATTTTGTTAGTTGCATTTATGGTTTGCAGATGGTGTATGCTTTATTTTCTACATCCATAAAATAATATTCTTGTTGATGTGTAATGAAATTGGAGTTTAACTTTTCATGAAAATACTCCTACATAAAAGTCAATGGAGATCTTCCTGTATAGAACTTTGGTACATTGGTTGTTTTTCGGCTGTTAACTGAAAAATAAATAAAAATTTCAAGGTCTAAAGTTTAAGTAGTAAATATAACAACATATGGTTTGTCTGTGGATTTTAGAAAAGGTACTTAGTTATTCTTGTATGAGAAGAACTTGATGAGTTCTATCTGATTGACCTTTATGATGTACTCTTTATTTTACACAGGTAGGAGAAGCTAAGAAAGCACTGAGAGTTCTTCAGAAACCGAATGTTCCTATAGAACTTCAGGTATAATTTTATCATGTGATCCATGTACCTGAAGAATACTGTCATTGTTCATATTTTGGTCAAACTAAATGAAATTTCTCTCACAAAGATTTGTTCTTAGTTTATTTTACCAATGGACATTATCTTATTGTGCAGTACAAATTTGCACCAGATCTTATCATGCTCGATGCTTATGAAACTGTTGAATCATGGATGACTACCAAAGACCTGAACCCAAGGAAGTTCATTCCTGCGATGATGCGATATTCGAGCGAACCACATGCAAAGTAATTTATCTCTTTTTTAAGTTGCATGATGCTTTTTTTTTATTTATTTGTGAGCGAGAGTTTCATATGCTTCTTGTCCAACCAAGATGATTCTTTGTAGTGGAAACATAGCAATAATAAATAATAATCATAAAAGCGACCATCTAAAAATAATTATTCAGGTCCACAATATTACGATTCTTAATAATTTCCTGATACAGTGAAGATTAGGTTTGATGAAGGCCTGGTTTTATGCAGCATATGTTAATTTTAGTGTGATTGGAGGGATTTTGTGACGAGTTATAATATGACTTAGGAGGAACAGAGTGCACATTTATGTAAGCTATACCGAACCAAACCCACCTTTGGCATGGGCTAGGAGGGAGCTGCAGGGCTCACGGCAATGCGGAGTAGAGACCCTAAGAGTGTTTCTTTAGTATTTATAGTTTTGGGTATTTTTGTTGTTAAGGTATGGAGAATTGTGAAGGTATTATAGAGAATTATGTTTTGTGTGGGTTTGTCGACTTTTATTGTTATGTTTATATTGTATTTTTTGGGTAATACTTTTGGGGAATCGTGTATGTTATAGACACTAAACAAACACACTCTAAATTTTTGTTGGCACCTCCGGCAGATGTTTGTAATCAATCTTAAGTATTTTGTGCATGCAGGAATGAAACTCACGAGGTGATTAAATACTTGGAGTACTGTGTTCACCGATTGCAAAATGAAGACCCTGGTATTCATAATTTGCTGCTCTCATTATATGCCAAACAGGTTGGTTTGCTCAATTTAATTGTTTAAATAATTCCTATATAACACCACCAAAGTGACTCACCTATTATTGTCAATTCCTACTTGATAAGAAAATGTATTCGAGTATAATTGCATCATTTTATTTTCTACTGCAGTCTCCAATTTTCTAGATACATATTTTATAGCACAGATAAAGACTTCAACTAAGGGGCTTGCATCAATTATTTCTCATTTATAGGATGTTCTTCTGCTTATATTCATTCAGTTAAACTGTACGTGTCTAAAAATTTGTGCTCAATTAGTAGCTTCGGGAAATAAAATTAATCTAAATTAATTAATGTCCTGCATTGTTTATGGCATAGAAGATTTTTGTGCTGACTGATGAGTCAGCATACCTATCTAATGGTTAGCTGTCTTGATATTGGCTTTAGGAGGATGAGAGTGCTCTTCTTCGATTCCTGCAATGCAACTTTGGAAGGGGGCGACCAAGTAGCCCTGATTTCTTTTATGATCCAAAATATGCCTTACGTCTTTGTCTCAAACAAAAACGGATGCGTGCCTGTGTTCATATATACAGTATGATGTCTATGCATGAAGAAGCAGTTGCTCTTGCTCTACAGGTGAAAATGTTCATTATGTTACAATTAGGGTCATACTTTATGTTATCTATTATGTTTGATCTTCGAATTCCCTTGACCGTAAAATAGAGCCATTGATATCTTTTTAACACTGTTCTTATATCTGAAAGCTCCTTATTTCTACTGATAGGTGGATCCGGAGCTGGCTATGGCGGAAGCTGATAAGGTTGAAGATGATGTAGACTTGAGGAAGAAACTTTGGCTTATGGTTGCCAAACATGTCGTTGAACAGGAGAAGGGAACAAAGAGGGAGAACATTCGAAAGGCTATTGCATTTCTCAAGGAGACTGATGGACTTTTGAAAATCGAAGACATCTTGCCCTTTTTCCCAGATTTTGCACTGATTGACGATTTCAAAGTACGTTATATTGCTTCCTTTGCTCATTCAAACATTGTATTATTTCATACTTCAATCCATAATTGATAGCCTTTTTTTTTTTTCAATGCAACTGCAGGAGGCAATCTGTTCATCTCTGGAGGATTACAATGAGCAAATCGAAAAGCTCAAACAAGAGATGAACGATGCTACACACGGTGCAGATAACATAAGGAATGACATCAGTGCTCTTACGCAGCGATATGCTGTCATTAAACGCGACGAGGAATGTGGGGTAATGATCTCTCCTTTTTTTGTCGAGTATTTTTCGGCACTTCTTTAAATCTTCCATACCTAAGCCACAGACATTTTGACTCCCCATTTTCCCAGCTCGGAAATTAAGACTTTAATCTCCATGACTCAACAGGCCTGTCGTAAGAAAATATTAAACACAGCTGATGATTACCGTATGGCGAGAGTGTATTCTACCGTTGGATCCATGGCACCTTTCTATGTCTTCCCGTGCGGACACTCTTTCCACGCTCACTGCCTGATTGCACATGTGACTCGATGCACTACCGAAGCTCAAGTAAGTTCTTTAGATATGCAATTTATCGTTCATCCCTCTATCTAAATTAAACAACTTTGCCTTGAAACTTTTTATCCCGGAGTCTGAAAGTTCAATCACATGTCTCGTATAATTGACAACGCCTTAAACCAACATGTCCACTCCAGGTGTTAAGCTATTCCCTGTTCAGAGCCATCTCGTGCTATTTTGAGGTCCTGTGCAGAAATAAAAAATAGGTCCTATAAAATTAAAAGATATATTTTAAAAATTTTATTTTAAATCATAAATATAATGTTGTGTTAGAAGTCATAACATGTTTTATAAAAAATAAATTTATAAAGAGTAAGTGTAAGAATAAAAAAATTGCTGACTTACCTATTGTTAACATATACTCCCTCCGTCCAAGACTAAACTTACAAAAATACTTTTATTAGTGTTTTATAATACTAATATAATAACATTTGTACAAAAAATAACGACCAAATGTAAATGAAAAGTTTAGTGTTGGACAGAAGTAGTATATTAATGTGCTCCCACAAATTAGGGGCCATGTGCAGTCGCTTATGAAGCACATGCTAATAGCCGGCTCTGCCTCTGCCTCTGTTGGATAGTATGAACTGAGATATATCGTTAGAAAATTGCTAGTTCTACGGGTGTTTGATCCGCCTATTTTATGAATGCATGTGCGATAATTCAAATTTATTTTAACCGGGATTTCATTCGCCCTCAATTCTCTGTCCTAATGATTTTCAACAGGCTGAGTACATATTGGACTTGCAAAAGCAACTGACTTTACTGGGGAATGAATCCCGGAGGGAAATCAACGGAAGCTTATTGGAAGAGGAACCAATCGCAGGCCCGTCTCCTTTAGACAAGGTCTGATATTCTTTCCAAAATTCCGCGACAAGGCTATACACGAGCAAATTTAGCTTTGATTCTTTAACACAACTGAATTTCTGATGTGTTCTCGGAAACTTAAACAAACACCAAACTTTCTTGCAGATTCGATCACAATTGGACGACGCCATAGCTAGTGAGTGCCCGTTTTGTGGTGACCTGATGATCCGGGAGATATCCCTGCCATTCATCCGCCCGGAGGAAACAGAAGAGATGGAGTCGTGGGAGATAAGGCCGCAGGCACTCGGATCTCAGAAAAGCATCTCATTAATCGTGTGAGCGATCCATCGTTGTCGGCGTTGGCCCTCGGAGGATCTTAACATTGTCAAGGCAAGATTTTGCTTCTGTTGAGGTATGAAAGAATGCATTATATATACATATGCATATTTGGTGTATGTTGTCTTTTTCTTTCCTTCATTTTTTTCTTTGTTCCTTAAGAAATGTTTGTCTTCTTTACTAACCATTTATATGTACGGGTGTGTTTGTTTGGGGGTTTGGATTTTGGGTTGGAATTTGAATAGTAAAATTTTGAATTTGAATAGTTATATGATGTGATATAAATAGGTGATGATGTGATGTTTTGAATGTAAAATTGATTTTTAGTATAATATAAAAAATGAAAAATAAGTATTTTATTTGATGTTTTTGGGGGAAAAAAATTGGATGAATAGTAGAATTTTGTTAGAATTCTACAAACGAACACACCCGTAGTGTGTTACTTGCTGAGTGGGTAATGGTTTTTCTTAACCCTAACATTTGAAAATATTGCTCAGCAATAAGGGCCGGCAAATATCCGTTTTTTTTTTCACGTAGATTTTTTAATATTAGTATTATATTGGTCTATAGTTGTATTGCTGAAAAGATAAAAATGCCCATGTTAGATTGTATAATAGAAAAATAATGATATTTTTGTAATATATTGAAAGTTGTGAGGGTATTAATTATGTTAGATAGGTAGTACAATTATGAAATAATATTTTTTTTTTATAACGAACGAAAATAAAAAATAAAAAATGATATTCTTTTTATGAAAAATAGTATCTGTTTATGAGACCGATGAAGTAGTGTGCTTACGTAATAAAAATATATATAAAAAAAAATAGGAGTATTAAACGAATCAAATCAAGTTTATTTATATTACTATACTTTATTGGTACTTTAATAAGGTATTTGTAATTTTCTTTTAATGTGTCCTAAATCAAAGTATTTGTTTTTTGTTTTAGTTATTGTATTGTCTATTTAATATTAATTTTATTCGTACTTTAATAAGGTATTTGTATCTTTCTTTTGATGTGTCCTAAATCAAAAGTATTTGTTTTTTTTGTTTTAGTTATTGTATTGTCTATTTAATATTAATAATATTCTTATAATTTATAATATATTGCATAAATATTAATATTTATAATATTACACCCAAAAGGAAAATAAATACCCTTTTAGAGCATTCACAGTGGGCAAAGAGGATAAAAATTTCTTTTCACATAGAAATTATAAAGTGTCAAAGCAAAATTTTCAAGAATAAAAAAGGGGGAAAAAAAAAATTAAGATGGTAAACTGTTTTTTAGTTTTGTCTCTCATAAGTAATTTTTTTTTTTTGCTAAAATGGTTCTTTGGTGTCGGACTCGCCACGTTGGCCCGCATTACTGACGTGGCGCTAATGCGGCTAACATGTTATCATCACGTAAATGCCACGTCAGCGACTCGTGGATTTTTATTTTTTTTTTACAAAATGTCTTGATAAACTATTTTTTAAGTCTCGTATATCATTCTTAGGATTAAGTGGACTTTGTTTCAAAATAGTTATGCAAGTAAAATTTTTTTCGCTAAAATGGTCTTTCGACGTGGCATTTAGGTGGCGATGACATATCATTCGCGTCAGCGCCACGTCAGCAAGAGCGGCCAACGTGACGAGTTCGGCACCCGAAGGATCATTTTAGCGAAAAAATTTTACTTACAGAATTATTTTTATTTTTAGAGAGGGTTCAATTAAAATTCTAAAATAAGAAATGGTTGTACATGAGACTAAAAAATAAATTTACCAAAAAAAAAATAAAAATTACACAGTGACCAAAAGAGAATTTTTTAGAGAAAGATGCGACTGCCTAGTGATGGAAGATATCTAAAAATAGATTGTTCTTAAAGATGATGAGCTTATAGGGAATACTTAAAAATTTTATATTTATAGTTATGGTATATAAATTGAATATTATTCAAATAAATATTAGTAATTTATTTGCACAATTTAATGTATACATAAGTGTAGTTTAATTTGATTCAATTTGAAATATTTGTAAATATTTTTTATTAATTTATTTGAATTTTGATTATTTGTTTGACGTATTTATTTAGATTCGATTCGGTTTAAAGTATTTATTATTTAAAAATAACGCAAATGGTTTTTATTTAATAAAAAAAAAAGAAATTGGTTCAAATATAATTTATAATTTAAAATATTTGTTTTTGTTTGATTTCAATACTATTAAATGATTGTATTTACAAAATATCAATATCCTACTATGTTAATCTCCACTTAAATCACTAATTTGATCACAAATTGAGATGTGTTTTATTTATTTATTTATTTATATATATATATTTTTTTTTTCATGCTAGAAGAAATGAGATAAACGAAAATAGTGAAATGAATACTTTGAGATGAAGGGAAGTATTAAATTTAAAAAATTATACTACCTCCTTACACCGCCAATTTATCCATTTGTATTTGGCGTCATTGTTTTTAATATTAAAAATATCTTTATATTTGTATAATTTTTTTTTTTACAAATATCATTACATTAGTATTACAAGACACCAATATCAATATTTTTGTCGTTTTTCTTTAATTTGTATTACGTTTTGATATACTCCCTCCGTCCCAGAACTATAGTTTCGGTTGTGTTTGGCACGAGATTTAAGAAATATTAATATTATATTGATATTGGGTAAAAAGTACGGATAAAAGACTTTTTTTGCCTTTGTGAGTGTATTAGTGTAAAAAGTAGTAGCAATTGTGTAATAATAATGAAAAAGTAAGGGTAGTTTTATAGTGATATAGTTATAATGAAAATGAGACTATTGTTTTGAGACGGAGGGAGTAATAATTAATATTCAAAAATTAATTTACAAACAGTAAATTAATTTGCAAAAAAGTAGTATTAATACTTTATAATGAAAGAAATTTTTCGAAAACAGCCCACAATTTTTCGTATTATTTTATTTTTGAGACATTTTGCAATTTAATTTAATTTGTTATATCCTTCCTCCGTCTCAGAAACCGTGTATGTTACACGGTAGACACGGTATTTTAAAAATGATGTAATTAGTAAATAATTAAGAATGTATTAGTGAAAATAATTATCCTATAATAAAAATAATTATAAATTAAGATTAAGATAAGTAATTAGTTTAATTAAAATTAAAAAAAATTAAAAAATTTAAAATGAGATTAAAGTGTGTAATCATTTTTCAAAAAAGGAAAGGATATGGTAGAGACGGACAGAAACGGCAACGTGGATATGGTATTTGGGACGAAAGCGAATCAAATAGTAAGATAGCCCTTAGTTAGATTAATGAAGATAATTGAATATTGTAAAGCTTTACAAATCATGAATGTAATAAAAGTGAAGGGGTGGACAAAAAGATCAAATCAAACCGTCGAACCGCTGATTCGAACTGATTTTTGGTTAATCGAATAAATTTGAGTCGAATATAAATATTATATAATATTTGATATTTATTCGGTTCGATTTTTTAGATTTTTTTGGGTTCGATTAATCGAAGTGAATATATTTATATTATTATATCTTAAAATATATATTAATAATTATATTTGGTTTGACTGTTCGGAATATTTACAAATATTTTTATTTAATTGAGTTTTAATTATTTTTTAATATTATTTTTTAATTTCAGTTTGATTTAAATTATTTACAAATATTTTTGATTAACTAAAAATTCTGATTCCAATAAAGTTAGCCTCGGGTATTTGTGTGTATTCGGTCAGCCGAATTTTCAATTTTGATCTGTCTTAGTTTATAAAAATTGAAACTGAAATCGAACCGAAAATTTTCAAAATCAAATAAACAAAACCAAACTAGTTTGGTTCGATTGGATTTAAAACCGAAGAAATTGAATTTTTATTTATTAATATATATTTTCAATATACAGTCAAATACAAATACTTAAAATTATAATACATTCTTATTAATATATAATTATATATAATTTTAAAAATTTTGGTTTTTTATGGATAGTTGAAATTAAAAATAGAAAATCATAATCAAATCGAAATCATAAATTTATAAATTCAGTTTTGGACTGAATCAAACTAATTAGTCGAACAGTCCAAACAAAACAATTTGAATTTTAACAGTCCAAACATAATAAAATTTTTTTTCCTTTTTTTCGGTTTGAACCGACCAAATGCTCTAATTAAGAGTGCATTTTTACCTAATCTAAAATAATGCAAAACAAACAAACACGCGTTGTTAGTTTCATTCTTAATCCAAAAATTTTCAATCTTTTTGGCGTGCGGATGACATATGAACGAGAACTAGGCAAGTAGCAGCAGCCATCATCTTCAGCGGAGGAGCTGTGGAGGAGGGGAATTGTGATTGGGCGCCGTTGTGTCGTGGGGGCCCAAACAATTTCCGTCCACACCAGAAACCATTCCTTCTCTTCTCCTCCCAATCTCAGCTCCACATTTTTACGGCAATTGTTGGACCCAGCCACGCAGGCAGTGTGCCCTTGAAGACATCGACGGACTCAATTGGGATTCTCTGGGCTCAAAATGGCGTGCAGAGTCCCACACTCGAGCTTCCTTTTCTTGGTATGGAAATGGAACTCTCTCTCTGCTCTGCATATTGGCTGTTTCATCGCGCAATTCTAATGAATTCCCTTGTTCGAATTTTCTAGGGTTCCCCGAAGAGGCCGGTAGAGGCGAACGTAGTTTTCCCCCAGAGTTCTCTTTCACTAGGTTTTGATTTTGATTTTGATTTTTCTCTTTTTTTTTCGAAAGTGTTTTTTTAACTGTCTGTGGATTTTGAGGGTTCAGAGTATTACTACTACTTAATTGATTTTTGTTCTGATGTTGTTTTTATTCTGCTTGAATTGTTCCATGTAGTTTTAAGATGATCTTTAGAAATGGTTCATGGTGTTTCTCTGCCATTTTTGCATCTACATTTAGCCTCTTAGGCGCTGTTTGGATGGATAGATTTGGATTCGAGAGTGGATTTTTAAATGTTTGAATTATTCGAATTTGAAATAGTTCATAATTAAATTCTTCGAGGGATGGATTTGAAATCGACAACGAGCTTTGGAGATTTGAAAATTCTACAGCATTATTAAATAAAACTAATGAATTTGATGGAGTCATTTGAAGTATTTTTATCCCAAATACTTCAATCAAACGGGGCCTAATTTTTCGTTTTTGTGAAGTTCAAGACTTGTGTATGTGCATTTTAGTGCTACTTATGGAAGAGCCCGCGTCGTTCTAGTATTGTTTAAAATAGGAATTACAATCTGGCCAGAGCTTAATTAGAGATGTCGATGGATTTGGGAATTACGCCTCTATTGAAATTAGTCTCTTACACTTATTTGAGATTTCGAACATTGGATCATATGTAAAAGAGATCAAAAAATTTAATAAAGAATTAGATTTGTCTTTCGATATTAGTATTAAAATGGATTTGACTTCGAAATATATCATGTGGTTGTGCTTTGGGGATCTTATGATTGTCTTCACTTATAAAATATTACCCTGAACAGCAACACATATTCTGAAGTGGGAAAGTCTGTCGGCGAAAGAAAGCAAGCAATCGCAATGTCGTATATCCTTCAGAAAATCGAAGATCGTGAGGGCTGTAGCTGTCTCAGTGGCGCCATCTGCAGAAGCCGATGCGGAGGAGAGACAGAAATTATGTAAGGAGTATGGTTTTCGACAGATTGGCGAAGCACTCCCGGATAATGTGACGTTGAGAGATATAGTTGATTCACTCCCTAAAAAGGTACTTTCCATGTTTGTTTTTTTCCTTTTTTGCTTTGACCTAATTTTTTGTGATTAACCATCCTCCTAACGTAGTTTATCTATGTTTATGTGAAAAGGTATTTGAGATCAACAATGTAAAAGCTTGGAAATCGGTGTTGATATCCGTCACTTCTTATGCTTTAGGGATCTTCATGATTTCCAAATCCCCGTGGTATTTACTTCCGCTAGCTTGGGCTTGGACGGGAACGGCCATCACCGGGGTTGGTTTACTTACTTAAATATCGATGATTTGCTTCTTATAGATATGCTGAAATGAGGAAAAAAATGTGTGTTTAGATATGTTTTGAAAGTATTACGGTGTTTTAAGCTGTCTTGAAAACATAGTTTGAATTAAAAATAAATATATGACTGTGATGTAAATAAATGTTGGATTTGATATTTTGAATAAAAAATACTCACTCGTCTAGTAATATACACCCATTGGATCTAGTGCGTATATTAAGAAAAATATACTATCTTTTATTGATAAAATGAGAAAAGTATAAACGGTAGTTGATGGTGTTTATGAAAATTCAATTAGTGATTAAAGAGAGCGGTGTGTAATAATGATAGGGACAATTGTAGTAAATAAATGTTGCATAAGGGTAAAATAGTTAAACATTAACTTACAGACGAAAAAGAAAAGTGGGAATAAGTTTAGCATATAGAGAGAATAAGTTCTTTTTTCTTTTCATGTAACATATTAAATGAAGAAATTGACGTCGGTATGATATTTTCTAAAGAATGAAAAATTGTGATGAATTGCGCGAAACGAAGGTTGAAAACATAAGTAGACAGATATAATTTGTAAACAAATAATTAATTTTCTTAACAAAAAATGCTTCAAATGGGAAATTGTCAAATGTTGACAACTTTATTGCTTGTGTAGTTATTACTTTTGACTATTTTGCGCGATTTTGTTCCATTTTACGTTTTACTTTGTGTATGCCTAACAACTTTTCTTTAATTTTCTCCCCTCTATTGTGAAGTTCTTTGTCATAGGACATGACTGCGCTCATAAGTCATTCTCACGAAACAAATTGGTGGAAGACATTGTCGGAACTCTGGCTTTTATGCCACTAATATACCCTTACGAACCATGGCGTTTTAAGCATGAAAAGCATCATGCGAAAACAAATATGTTAGTACATCTTTCTTGTTGTCTTTCTTCAATTGAAATACAATCTTGAAGATTCACCAGCCGACATTTATTGCAGGTTGGAAGAGGATACAGCTTGGCACCCTGTCAAGATAGAGGAATTCGAGTCCTCCCCGCTTCTTCGAAAAGCAATTATTTACGGATATGGGCCGATTAGACCATTGATGTCCATAGCACACTGGTAAAAAAATAAAATGCTATAAAGCGACGCTCATTGTGGATATGACTGAAGGATTGGGTTTTGGTGGATTTCTATAGCTTATGTTTTGATATGTTGACATTTTTCGTAGGTTAATTTGGCATTTTGATTTGAAAAAGTTCAGACCGAGTGAAGTTAACAGAGTGAAGATAAGCTTGGCTTGTGTGTTTGGTTTCATTGCAATCGGATGGCCGTTGATAATCTACAAAACTGGGATAATGGGGTGGATCAAGTTCTGGTTGATGCCTTGGTTGGGGTATCACTTTTGGGTATTTTACGTTCTCTCGAGCTTTATATATTGCATATGATCTTTTTTAATTTTTTACGGGATTAAGATCTTAAAATTGTCGAGTAATGAATAGTTTGTTGGGTTTCATATGCTTGCCTAGCTCATTTTATCACTCCTTCGACACTTTTGTTCGTAGGTCGGCTCTTATTTATTTATTTATTTATTTATATGATATGATCATTTAATATGGTATCGAAATAGGGATGTTCATTTTCTCGAATCTCCTAAGTCGCCTATGATAGGAGAAGGGTGTTGTGAAGTAGAAAGAATGATGGGATTGTGTTGAATGAACAGAAAAAATATTTTACGATACGTTGCCATATCTACTTGAGTTTAGCTTTCTGTGTGATGGTCAATTAACAATTATGATCGCGCCTCATCCAATATATTCATAATTTTTGGGTTATTCGATGCATTTCCAGAGAACTAGTTACTTAGCAATTGACATGCTTCTCCCGAAAAACTTGCAGATGAGTACTTTTACGATGGTCCACCACACGGCGCCTCATATACCCTTTAAATCTTCGGATGAGTGGAATGCAGCGCAAGCCCAGCTCAATGGCACCGTTCATTGTGACTATCCGAATTGGTAAAATCCATTTCTTTGCTCTTTGATTTCGGGACAAATTCATTAAAGCTTTACATTCGTAATTTTTTTCATCGTGGACAGGAAAATTGGTGTCATTTATCTCTTTTATTACATTAGGAAACATCGTGAAGATCTAAACATTGTGTTTCTTTTAGGCTTAGATTTTTTCTGTTTAATATAATTAAATAAAAAATAAGTGTTTGATTTGATCGTTGAATACCGCCAAACTAAAACTAGATCTCAAAGAAACTGATTCATTGTTTTCAACGTGAAAATAAATCTACTTTGCCTCGACAGGGTCGAGGTTCTTTGCCATGATATCAACGTACACATTCCTCATCACATATCGCCGAGAATACCAAGCTACAATTTACGAGCAGCTCACAAATCTCTCCAAGAAAACTGGGGAAAGGTAACACCCAATATCATCTATCTTTTTCGATTTTTTCTTTCCGTGTTTCTGACTTCAAGTTGATTTTTTCTTCGTGCAAATATTGATAATATTCGATAGTATCTGAATGAGGCCAACTGGAACTGGCGACTGATGAAGACGATATTGACAATGTGTCATATCTACAACAAGGAGCAAAACTACATTGCTTTCGACAAGCTCGCCCCCGAGGATTCCCAACCAATCAGATTCCTTAAAAGAGTAATGCCCGACTACGCTTGATTTCTCCGGTTGCGTAGCCATTTTTTGTACGAGGAATTGGGCAAGTTTATTGTCTCAACTTTGATCTTGAATCTAATTTCGAAAGCTTTTTTTTTTTATTAAAGTTAATATAAGTAGAAGGTGTATATTTTCTGTATTTATAACTATTATATAGGTGAGTTGTTGCGCAAAATTAATTGAGTCGAAGGATCGAGATCAGTTTGGATCGATCTGGCTGGCTACGGGTTATTAGGCCTTATCTAACCTGAAGGCTCGGCCGGCGTCAATAATGTGACAAAACTCCGAGCTATAACAAGATTGGAAGAGCACGTTGGTATTGTGCCTCTTAAATCGCTCCCAACGGGTCGATTTCAGGCTTAACCGCAAAGGATTCGACCATTGGATCCGTCGGTATTTGTAATGATATTTATTTTTACCGTATATGAATATAATATTAATATACCTTAAATTTTGTATAAAAAGTAAACAAATATATCCTTAAGGGATCACGGATAGAGTATATTTTTTTCTCTCACAGAAACATCTCAAATATTATTTTAATACTAAATTCAAATCAATTTTTTTTCAAACCAAAAAAATTAAAACACACCCTAAGGGGGCGTTTGGTACAGAGAATAAAATTGCAGATAAATGGGAAAAATAATGAAATTGTCTTATTGATCATCGTAAGAAAGAGCTTGTATACAGGCAATACAAAAATAGACAATATATGAATAATATCAAATGTTGAGATAAATGCAATTGAACAGAGAAATATAAAAAAGAAATGCAGTTATACGAATGATCAAATAAGAATAAATGATTAACCGGATAAAAAAAAGATATTTAACGAATGAGAATTGATGAAAAATATTTTTGGTGACTTTTAAAAAAAGTTATAAATTATATACGATATTTTTTAAAATTATATTTTAGTACAATTTCTTAATAGATCGTAAAAATTAAATACTTTAACAATAACTTAAATTTGTTTTTTGTAAAATTGAAATAATATGATTTTAAAAAATTATAGAAATTAGATAGTACAAAAGAAATTCTAAAAAAAAATTTAAAAATATACTGAAACATCGTTTCTCTCAATTTCTCTGCATACGAGAGATAAATGAAAACAGATAAATAAAAATAATTTATTTCTCAAATTTTATTTTTCTAACTCAAACAAACAAAATAAATGATATATTTCTATTTCTCTGTACCGAACGCATCCTAAGATTGAGAATCGAGAAATGTAATAGAAAATTAATTCGTTAACGGCAAGATAGGTTAGGTGTGGGGCTTGGACTTTATTAATGCTATTTGCATTTATTTCTTTATTTCCCGTTACTCATTTAATGCGTACTCACTTTTCACAAATAATAAAATCAATAAATTGTCCAAACTATTTGAGTCCATAATAAATTGTCTTAGAAAAAATATTTTTTTTTAGCTTTTAATAAGGAAAAATATATATAATTTTATAAGTAATAGTGAAGAAATATATATATAAGTAAACATTATACATTTCTACGAAATACAATATATGCTATGTTAGATCATATATTTTGTAATAATTATATTATATGTACTGATTAAATCAAATCAACACTACGATAATGTGATAAGATTAACTAAACATTTCAAGTTCTTAAAATGAACAAATTATGGCCAAATTTCCAAATTTAGCAAAATTCATGGCATTACAATTTTGGGCCTTTTGAACAGTGTACTTGGTCGTACGTAGGGATGACATACCGTACTGTATCGAAAATACCGCTCGATACCGATATCGTATCGAATTTTTTTGTATGACTAAAATACATACTGGTACCATACCGAAAGTTTCAATATATCGAATTTTCGGTACGGTACTTATATATACCGTTTATACCGAAAATTTTAATTTCGGTACGATACCGGTGTATACCGCTTATATCGAAAATTTTGATTTCGGTAGATACTGTTATATACCGATTATACCGAAAATATAATTTTAAATTTCAAAATAATTAAAAAAATTAATAAATATCACTATTCTCCACCAAAAAATATTATGAAAAAATAAATAAGTTTTCAATAGTTTACGTATTTTTTTGTTATGATTTTTTAAAAATATTAATAATTAAATTATTTAATAAAAATAATATCGGTACGGTATCATACTGAAATACCGAATTTTCCAAAAATTCATACCGATACCGTACCGAAAACTTCGGTACGATATCCATACTGTACCGAAATTTTTTATATTTTCGACACGATATGATACGATAAGTCGGTATTTCGGTATGTTCGGTAAATTTCTCCGTCCCTAGTTGTATGTGACGGTTTTGAACCGCACTTATATATATATATATCTTATGTATTTTTTTCTGTAACTTACATTTGAAATTACTAATAAAAATATTTAACTTGAGCGCTTTAGATATAGATTGTTCTGATCGAACTGATCAAAAAATTTCGTGTTGTTCTAGGCTTTTCTTAATTTTCGCAACATAAAATAAAATTAGGACAATTAATTTAGTAATTGATTAAAAGCTATGTATAAGAGGAAAACAAGAATGGTTAACCTTAATTAAATTTAATTTTCTAGTGATATCATTTATCATCATATTTTGGGGTGTGTTTGGTTTTGATTTGATATTTAATTTAAATAATATTTTATAAAAAAATAATATATTTTTATGTAAGATTATGCCAATAGAACAATGTAAAATTGAGTTTGAGACCCAAACACTATACATACATTGGCTTTGTTCCTTTTGGATTTTTTATTTATTTTTTAAATAATAATTTATCCTAACATTTTGTATGAAAAATAATACTACTACATATTTTTACAAAAAAATTACAAAAATTAGATAGGATAAATATTGAAAATATATATATATATATAAAAAGAACACATCTGTTAGCTTAATTTGAACAAATTTTTTATATAATTTCAGCAATTTTGTTTTACAAAATAATACTCTCTCTGTCTGCTAAATTTATTCTCACTTTTTCTTTTTATACGTCTATTAAATTTATCTCATTACTAATTTTGACAAAGTCAATATTTAATTATTATCTTCAAGTCAACACTTATTTACAACAAATATCGTTAACTTTATTACATTTTCTCTCTTCATTTACTTTACTTTTTAACTAAATTTTCAAAAATATTTTTAACTATTTATCACTTTTTTAATAAAGTATTTATTTATTTTTTTTAAATTCCCGTGCCAAGCCCAAATAGGCATTATGGACGGAGAGAGTATCAATTAATACATATTATTCTGCCAATTTATTTTCAAATCGATAGTATAAGGTTATTGGCAAGAACAAACAATTAGGTGATAGTAATGTCGCACAATTTAAATAGAATCGAAAATCAAAAATTTAATCACCAAAAAATCATCACAGAATTTAACAAAAAATCAGAGTTAACTTTACTTTACCAAATCCAAGGCAAGATAACCAAATTCTTGTTTCGATGAATATGACTTGAAATAATAATAATAATAATATCTTCGTCTCACTTATTATGTTTATTTTTGTATTTTTGTCTCTTTATTTACTTGTCATTTTTTTTTTGAAAAAAATTATACACTTTAATTTTATTTTATTTTTAATTTTAATTAGATTAATTAGTTGTCTTAATTTTAATCTAAATTATTTTTTATTATACGATAATTATTTTTATTAATATATTTTTAATTATTTACTAATTATATCACTTCTAAATTTTCGTATGTCCAGTAAATGATACACGGTAGTCAAGACGAAGGAAGTAAATACTTGTATTTTAACACATTTGCATGCAATGCCTAATCATTATTATTTATTTATTTTTTTTCATGATTTTGTGATAAATAAGAGAATATTATGCACATTTTAGCTAGTAAATGAATGAATTACACTGCAAAAATTTACACGATATTTTATATATATATATATATATGGCGGCTCACAGCAAAATAGTAAGTTGAGCAACTGCTGAGACCCCTAATTAATAGAGGGCCTATATTTTAAATATTATCTATTATTATTATTAAAATTTAAAATTAAATTTTAACTTTTAATTTATATTTTTTTCTTTATAATTATCTTATTTAATTTTAAAATTAAATTTTAATTTTTAATCACATATATATATATTTATTTATTCTAATCAGTCTACCATTCTTTACCTTACACTCTATCACACTGCCCCCAGCAACTCAATCAAACTTGCCTTATTTTTTTCTCTTATATCTTTCACCCTCCTTCAATCCTTGTTGTTTTTCGAACTTTCAGACAGACCATCTTTCATCTTCTTTTCTCAAATTGATATTGTCCAGACGGTCACGTTCAACGTCTTGTCCAATCAACTCTATCAGTAATATTACTAAAAACACATTTTAATAATGTATTTATAGGACTTATAATTTATTTTTTCTCAGAGCCTAAAAAAAGTCCGAAACGCCCCTGTGTATATATATATATATATATTAAAATAGAAATGATAAAAATCCAATTTATCAATAATAACAAAATTCTTTCCCAAAATGAATTAAATAAAAGATCTTATAGGACAAGAAATATTTGTGGTGTAAGAATTTATAAATTTGGAAATATGTGGATGTACCTATATTATATTTGAAGATTCTTGCCCCAAATTTCTTACAAAAATCGAAAACATTAAAATAAAAACTTGGCCCCAAATGTCTTATCTATCTTTTAATACTACAATTCTATCCATCTCTTCATCCATATGTATCATTTTCATTGTTGATTACTTTGGTTTTGTTTTGTTTGAGATTTTGTTGTTCTTGATTTATTTTTTTATTTTTTAAAAAAAAGCTAAATGTATTTTGTAGTAAATATTAATAGGGGGATGTTTCAAATCTAAAATTAAAATTCTATATTGTATATATATATCACATTTCACATTTCTATTTTATTTTATTTTTTTAAAATACTTTTGACCAAAATCAAATTTTACATAATCTTCCATCTTAATTACTCTATTCGTTCCATAACTAGATATTCATTTGCTTTTTGCACAGAGTTTTATAAGTATTAGTATTATATTGAAATGCAAGTAGGAATAAAGTAGAAATGACTAAAATAACCTTATTAGTATTGTGTGATATAAATGTAATGACGTTTGTGT